GTCAAACTTGCGCATTGGCAAGCGTGAAAAGTGAACCGTTGCAATTAAAAAAGAACGGAGGAAGTATATAAAAATGAAAATGAAATAATAAATGAGAAGAAGACAAAGAAGGAAAAATGAAATACATAAACATGGAAAAGAAATAAAAATAAGAATAAGAAGATGAAAAGAGGAAATAAAAGAGTCAAGATAATAAAATAAAAAAGTAAAACTTTTAGCGAGAAGAAACACTACTACATTTAAAGACATTTTGTAATAGTCAAATTTGTTACTTTTGGTCCAGGAGTCCGTTACACTCTTTTAAATGTAATAGTTCCATTCGTAACATTCGTATGTAACGATTTACTATATATGCGTGCATATATAACTTCACTGATTTGATGAAGATGTATAATAAATGTTAGATTTATTTTTTAATGTAACATTTACTATATATGCATGTATATATAACTTCACTGATTTGCACATAATCAGAAAATAATATAAAAATTTAATACATTTATAATTAACTAAAAAATATCACATTTACATTTGTAGTACATTGCACACATCGATCTATGAAGTCTAAAATCTATTGTTTTATATAGTAAAATTGAGTTTCAATTGATGTGTCAACATTCTATTGGATAATGCAAAGTCAATTATCACTACAATTAAATCAATTAATTAATTCACTGTTTTTTCCCTCAAATCTTGCGGCTGATTTGGAACTAAGGAAAGGAGCAAAAGCCTCTTTTTAAAGTGATATAACTTTTACATTTATGATCAAACTTTTACAAAAACTATATTAAAATTCATAATTTTTTATAATCTTTCATATGACACCAATATCATATATATATATATATATATATAGAGAGAGAGAGAGAAAAGATCATGTGAGAAGTCCCCCTTAGACTGAGAAGCTGCGAAGTCTAACTTATAAGCTCAAAACACGAACTTTTAACCAATAAATCATACTCCCTCCGTTCCCAAAAATACTTCTCACTTTCCTTTTTGGGCTGTTCCCAAAAATACTTCCCACTTTCCCATTTTGGACAATTTGTGTGGCTCACATTCATTTTACATTTTTCTTACACAACCACAACCATACATTTCCACTTTCTTAATAAGCGTGCCAAGTCAAACCGGGAAGAATTTTTAGGAACGGAGGGAGTAACTTATAGACCCCCTCCAAAAAATTACGAAAATGCCACCGCGTCAAAATAACTCCAGAAACCTGGAAATTTTTTTTGCAGAAAGTTCGTGTTTTTGAGGGGGTCTATAAGTTATGATTTTTTGGTTAAAAGTTCGTGTTTTTTGCTTATAAGTTAGACTTCGCAGCTTCTCAGCCTAAGGGCACTTCTCAGCTGATCCGCTCCCTATATATATATATATATATATATATATATATATATATATAGATATATATAGCAAAATTCTAATATTTTATATAGCAAAACTTAGTTAAAAGTTTTGTGCCCGTTTAGTGATCTTATTTTTTGACTTTGGCAGGTTTATAAGTCAACTTTTTCGCCAAACATATAACTTTTGATTTCACTCGCTAAATTGTGTAATAATAAGAAAAAGTAAGGTCAAAGTTACTTCTCTGGTGTATTGGCTGAAGTTACTGTAGACGATCATTTTAACTATTTTTTCATATAACTTTTTCTTTATTTTACTAATAAAGTATTTGTTTTAAAATAATTATTTCATAAATTAGCAGAATCAACCAATCCAATCACTTCAGCCAGCATTTCATAAATTTCAGTAGAATTAGTCAATACAGCCGATTAAGGAAAGGGAAGAAGAAAAAATCTGTGTAAACACTTTCACCAACTCATTTGAAGAAAGTGAAGGAGAAAAACACTAGATCTTTCATATGTCATCAATATTGCATATATATCAAAATAAAAGTTATTATTTTATACCCTCTTCGTCCTAAATTGATTTCCAAAATTTGACTTTCTGGGTGAAACAATTTCATTTTAATCACTTTATTAGGAAATCAATTTTCAATTAAGTTTTAATTTGGATTTTGTAGAGATTTTAATGTAGTTTCTGAATATGTAAATTTTAATTATTAAAATCGTACGTATTATTTATTCATAAGGAGTATTTAACTTTAAAATTGGTTGACCAGAAAATTTTGACTTTGCCAAACAAAATGGGATGGAGGTAGTAGTACTGTAGTATAATAAAACTGAGTTATAAATCTGTAATTTGTCGGTTTCTTATTAGTTAATAAATATTCTATTATTACTACTACTAAAACATTTAATTAATTCAAATTCACTTGGTGCTTCACTGCTAGCTTCACTGCTATTTACTCGGTGCATCACTGTTATTTACTTTCATCACACAAACTTATTTGGAGAAAGGGGGATAAAAAAATCTTTTTTGTACTCCAATTTTTATAAGAAATATATCAAAATTCATAACTTTTTATAATCTTTTATATGACACCAATATTGCATATATAAAATAAAAAAACATTTTTATATAATACAACTTAATTGTAAATCAATGATGTGTGAGTCTCTTATTGGTTAATAAAAATTTCATTATCACTCCTTCTAAATCATTTAATTAATACAAGTTCACTCAGTGCATCACTGTTATTCACTCGGTGCGTAGTCACTGCTAGCTTCACTGATATTTACTTGGTGCATCACTGTTATTTCTTTCATCACACAATTTTATTTCGAAAAAGGGGGAGAAAAAAAAAACTTTTTTGTACTCCAATTTTTATAAGAAATGTATCAAAATTCATAACTTTTTATAATCTTTTATGACACCAATATTGCAGAAAAACGAAATAGGATCACTGGCTAATCCGATACCATATTGATGATTACATTCAAGGATTGAAATAGGAAGGTGAAGAACAATCGTATGAATACCAGAGTAGAGAGAGTTTGGAAGAAGCGTTCGAAGGTCGAAGTAATCACTTACCAAATATGGAAAGCATATTTGGTTTATATACAAATACAAATGAGCTTAAGAATTAGAAAGGCCCAATGACAAATACAAAAAATAGAAAATATACACAAGTCCATCTAGGTCCATTAAGTCCGGCACATTTATTCTTGATGCATAGGTTCCCCTAAATGCTGATGCCCCTCGACCCTAGACAGGACCTCAGGCAAGATAAGAAAAAGTGTAGGAAATAGAGGGTAACCTTGCCTCAATCCTCTTGATGCATGCCATGAAAATTCCCCTAGTTTCCCATTTATAAGATCTGACATAGTTACTAATTCATCTTTCACTTAGAACTGAAATCCAGTTTCCATTTAACTCTATCATAAGATTTTTTATCATCACCTTCAAAATAACATCCCCCCTCTAAAGGCCTCCAAGTCTGGTGTATCATTTCCGGGGAAAGCAACCATACTCAACTATGGATCTTTAAGTAAAGCCATTCTGATCAAGTGAAATGAGTCTGCTAAGAACATTATTCAGCCTGACTGAGCAGTTCAGTAATGACTTTTGTAAGCACTTTACATGCCGATTGGCCTAGAGTCCTTCTAATGGTTTGCCTTTAACTTTATAGGAATAAGAATGAGGGAATGGCAGTAATCCCTCTGGGAATGATCCCCATTTAGAAAATCTCTTTCAGCTTCCAAGAGGCCCTTCTTCTTGATTATTTCCCGGCAAGATCGATAGAAGTAGCTGTTGAATCCATCAAGTTTATCACTAAAATGTTTATATTCAAGATTAAGCATTTTCAACTTAAAATAAAAGGACTAGCTTTGATTGCACTCTGATGAAAAGAGACTGAGGTTTCATCACAATTCTTTGCTTGGAGTTGAAGGGGACCTCTCCCTTGTGGTACCCTCTTCCTATCAAGTGAGTAACGCCCCCGGTACTATATACCTCTAAAAAAGTGGACCTGAGGAGCATTCCAGGATTCAGAGACGGTATTCAACTATTCAAGAATCCTCATAAGAAACCCACATATATGGAATCTGAAGGATGATAGAATGATAGATGGGATTTACGCACATTTTCAATTTTTAGCAGAACAGGAGAATGATCTGAAGTGTCTTTGTTAAGTATACATGGAGACAAACCATTTATTTGCATTCCCCAAATATGACATACAAGAACTCATTCAAGTTTCTGCAAGGTATGATTATTATCCAAGAAAAAACCTCCTTCAAAGGGGGAAAATCTCCCAGCCTGTAAAGGACATGTTTTGATACAGAGATTTAATGTCATTCCAAAGGTTTCTTCTCATTATTTTAGTTCAGCAGCATTATCTTGCAATTGGTCCTTCCCCACTAAGGATTCAACTATTAGAAGAAGATCTGTATTATGAATTTCAACCAGAGTTTTCAGTCTGAGGATGGAATTTTTCAGTGCTGACCCGTATGATATTTTCAAGAGTTAGGACTCTTCTAGTGTGAGTATCAATATTGTTGATTTATATATGCTTTATGTCAAACGGTTTCACCCAACAAACAATTTCTAGTTTTCTACCACACGTGCTGAAGACAATGTATACTAACTCACATTGAGCAAAGTATTTCTATGACATTAAGGATCTTGGGAATTTCATGGTGTTGCGCTATAAAACTGAACTGTCTGAGACTTTGATATGTGGTTGTTATTTTCTGTTTGAACCATGATGTTTTTTAACCTCTTAGGCCATCCCAAAGGTGTTTGCCATGCAGCTCTTGCCCAAGAGGGTCATACCAGACCAGGAGAGGTCATTTTCATTTAATTGTAAACAAAACTTCATACAATACTATTACACACTAAAGCAAATGCTGTGTTCTCAATTCTCATTATATAAGGACACTTGATGCTAGAATGCACACATCATATGTTGTATGAAGAGACGAAAACTCAAACTCAAACTCAAACTCAAACACATTCAATTCCTTATTTAATTCAAAGACGATGATCACACAAGCACACTCATGAAAGTGGAATTGATCCAAGACAACACATAAGTTTAGTTAAGCGTAAACGCTTGGATTTTCGACCAAGTGCTTTTCAACAGCCTTGAAAATTGCCTCAGATTTCTCTTTGCCTCTCTTCATTTCCTCTTCATTAATAACAGAATCACCCTTGGTGTGATACTTGCTTATGGTCCTGCAAGTACACTCTCCATCGCCACGAGCTTCAATCTTCACATCGTAGGAAATAGTCTCAAGCTCGCCTCCAATCATATCTCCCTCGAAAATGCTGTACTTGCACACCAAATTCTTCACATCAAACTCATCTATCTTGGTTTTCATGTTCTTCGGTGTGCCTCCTGTGATTTTAAAATAAGACAAGTATTTCAATGTAAGACCATACATTCAATAGTACTACAATTTGATAGAAGAACAATAAAGACTTAGTTCACAAACGAGATCAATTATGTTTGATAGTTTCATTCATGAAATACTCTGTATAACTTATTTATTCCTAATAAAAGAATAATAGTTGAATTTTCTTCATTTATGTAAGGAATGTGACTCTAATAACAAACATTAATCCGTGTACAAAAAAAACATTAACCCAAACTTGTAACTATTTTCTTCTTTTTTTAGTACAACCACAACAGTTGGGATCGACGCTGACGAACATTCTACCTATTTATTAAGTAAACCGGACTTGTAACTACATTCATATGAACGAGCATAAAAAAACCCGACTTTTAGAACGATAATTTGTGGTTCACCCGTTCTATAACCTCAGATCGCGAGGGATCAAATAGCCAAAATAGCCCAAACACTGAAAATTATCCACACGTACACATATGTTACCATTTAACAAACTTTACTATGAACGAAACTGTCATTGAACTTGTAATGAACTTCTTGTTACCCAGAAATCCATTTCAAAGTTTTGTAGGTGTCCATAAAAGTTAAATTGGTTGGTGGCATAGTATTGGATTAGATAATGCCTATATATATCAGGATTATTCATTAATTAATTATTACTAACCTTCAAGGTATTCAACCTGCTTAATGCTTCCGGCACCACCTTCACCCTCAATAAATTTAATGCTCGTAATAAGGTTTGGCAACAGCTCTGGGAAGAGGTTTTTTGACTCCACAAAGAAAGCTTTGAACAATCTTTCAGCTGCAATGGGAGTTGTCACTTCATCGGTATAGGTAGTCACACCCATTGTGTGTTTTTGGCCTTAGTATATATGAAAAACGAGCTAAAGATTTGAGCAAAATTATTGTAAACTAAACTGGTTTAGTGAGTTGTGAGATAATTGCCCAAGTTGTGTCGCTACTTATAGGCGTGATTCAAGGATGAGTGGCCTAAGGATTAGCAAGAATTTCCAGCATTCAACATTTCAAGCCTTCCCTTTCTTGACTTTCGTTCCAATTCTCAATCTTTTTGTTCATTCTTCTTTGATGTTCATCATTATATTTGCGCGTAATTATTACATAATAATCTTTTGACCTTAGATGAACAGCCACATTTCAAACACCTTGACTTAAAAATGAGTTGAGTCTGACAAAAAATTACTCCTTACTAAGCATTTTAGTCACAAATAATATTTATTTTAGTCATTAATATGCAATTATTTTTAAATTATTTGAGGCGTACGTTCGGGTATTGTTATATTTTTGTCAATTCACGAATTCTTTGAGCCATTCATCTAATCCATAAGACGCTTGGACTAAATCAAACGAAGAACTTAAATTTAATCTACTAATTAACTAGCTTGTTCAACAAACCAAATATCTCACTAATCTATTAGCCTTTTGGTATCTATCATCTACTAGTTATAAATTATAAGAGTGTTTTTAATTAGAACGGTTCGGTCTCAAGCTAAGATTCTGTTTGGTTATACTCAAATCGGTTGTATTAACAGATTATGATGGAACTTACGAAGTTCTGACTGAATTGATCGGATTGATTGATTCTACTGATTTATGAAAAAACTATATTTAAAATATATTTTATTAATAAAATAAAGAAAATATTATATGACAAATATCTAAAATGATTCTCTACAGTAACTTCAGCCAATACAACCACAAAAGTAACTCCAACCTTATTTTTTTCTTATTATGACACAATTCAGCGGTCAAAATCAAAAGTTACGCGTTTGATAAAAAATTGGCTGATAAGCCAAAATATAGGGTCGTCAAAACGATGAGAGGATCAGAAAATCTCAATCCAATTAAAAACAACATTTTTTAAATTCACACAAGATTTTTTGTTATTCGAAAACGACATCTACTTTTAATGAATGCAATATTGACATTTGTTTCTCATTTTTCACATTTATTAAAAGTCGAAACCATATTTTTTGGACTAAAGGGTTTTCTAGACTTTAACTATTCACATTTATAAATCTGTCTTTTGTATTACCTACTATATAATGTCTTTTTGAACACGTAAAAAATATTGTTATACACCATTCATACCCGTAAATCTTTACATATTTTCCTCCGTCTCTTAAAATTTTGTCAAGTTTGACCGGCACAAGGATTAATAAAGTAAAAATTATGTGATTAGCTGGAACTACAAATTCTTTACTTAAAATGAAAAGTGACAAAGTTAGTGGGATATCCAAAAAAGGAAAGTTGTCAAAGTTTCAATGGACGGAGAAATTATATTTTATTCTTTTCATCGCTCAAAAACATTTAAAAATCAGATCACATAATTATTTTTCACAAAAAGGTGGCAAAACACCTTTTTTGGACGCAACACTTTTTAATTTGATTCTACTTGATAATTTGCATATACCGCTAAAAACAAAAAAATGGCATATACTTCTATTGGTAGAAAATATCTCGGTTAGAAAAACTGGTCCGGAAGGCTTATTACTCTGATTCATTAAACTCGCTTCGATAGAGTGGTTGATCTTCTTCCTCGGGCCTGGAAGGCTTATTACTCTGATTTATTTGGGCTTCCTTCTTTGAGATTTATCCATAAGATTCTTGGGAGTTGGGGTTGTTTGCTAGGTTTTCATTTACTTAGCTTTCGTTTATTTTGTTTGGAGAATCTTGGTTTGATACCCTTCTCTACTTGTATCGCACTTTTTTCATTTAATAATATAGAAATTGCATGTTTTGAAATGTTTTGAAATTCCGAAATAGGAGTAATCTACCAAGTTTGGGAAAAAATGCCATGTTTTAATTTAAAGCCTAGTAATGCCAAACTTGACAGAAATTTACTCTTATTCAAGGAATAAAAATCATGATACTCCTATTTTGGAATTTCAAAACTTTTATACTCCTATTTAGGGAATTCTCTCTTAATAATATCCTGACAATTGACCCCCGGCTTCTGTCCCAGTGATTTTGATTGTTTACCTTCCGGGGTAAAAAAACTTAAACTATTTTATTTCTAATTGCAAGTGAAGAATCAGATGATTCATATTTAGAGATTGTACCCAATATTCTCATATATTATCATTTGCGATCAATTTTAAGTAAATACTTAAAATTCGTTTCACATGAGTGTTTGACAATTGGTTGTTGGCTGTTGATTGTTGGCTGATTGGTGACAGCGCGAATTCTGTTGGCTATTTTGATTAGCTACTAGTATGAGCTGTTTATAGATTTGTGCTTGGTTAAATGATTGTTTGCAATCGGCTGATAAATTGCAAAATGACTTTTAAGGACATCGATTAATTCTTTTTGTCTACTAACCACTTATATATGTATTACACGTTTACTAATGTTATTAGTACACCAACTTTATTTCATAACCAATAATACTTTATTAACACAAGTAAAACTTATTTTAAATGTTGTTTTTCATAAATTTAATAAATAAATATGATTGTATTGTACTACATAATTAATTAATGGAATAATAAGTACATATATAAAGGACATTGTGTTGTATGCTCTCGTAGCGTTTAGATTATTGTTTAGAAAGAGATTTAAGCATCTAGTTTTCAAGCTATGAACATAGCATGAAATAAGGTGTTGTATGCTCTTGTAGTAGCAAGAATGAACGTAAATGCATATTCAAAACATCAAAACAACAGTTTTAATTTGTTTCAGAGTTATTTATTTTAAGCAGAAAAATCCATGAGAAAATTATTTTGAAGGAAGATTGCCGCAAAGAAAGTTTTGTCGTAGGAGAGTGATGATGTGGAAGACCAAGAATGTGAAAGTCAGCTGATTTTTTCTTCTGGGCGTAGGATCCGGAAGAGTGGAAGACGAAGTGAAGCGCACGAAAAGAATGGAGCAGCGTGGGTAGAATAGGAATATCCGTATCGGCTTTCAATCGGCCAAGACCTAAACGCTATATTTAGTGGTTTTTCTTATTTTGGTTGTTTGAGATAAAAAGCCAAGCGAAAAAACTAATTAACCAAACACCTCTATTAGCTATTTATCTTGTCAAAAAGCCAAATAGTGATCAAATCAACAAAAAAATAGTTGATAGACCATTAACCAAACACCCCCATAGAATTTTTCACTTTCACATTAAGACATAGTAATCTTCATTTTACTGCCAATAAGTAATTATTTTGCCAAAATATATGGCTTTATAAATAGTTTGAGCAAAAATATTACATGATTCTTGCATAGAAGGGTTGTAGGTTTTCTATCTTTTGCAATACATACAAAAAAATGTGCGCATCAAGTTTCCATGATTGTACATACAAAAATATTTTAAGATATCATGGTAATACAAAAAAGTACGTGGTATATTATATGTAATTGTATACTTATTTATGCTTTTTATCTATCAAGTTTCGAGGCGCGATGGTGGTTGCGCGAAGATGAGAGATGATGGGGACGATGAAGGCTTCACAGAGGTAAACGAAAGTTTGAAGGCTTCGATTCGCTGGCTTGGGAGTTTGATGGGAGTGTTAAGACCCGGGGTTCCTTAAAGGTCAACCTCATAGGAGGAGTAATCCAAAACCTTATATAGTGTTTAATTGTTTTATAGCTTTCCGGTGTGGGACAAATGTTTTAACACGTCCCCTCAGTTTGAACCGAGCTGAACAATATCGGGGTGTATAAACGGGCCAAACAAACCCTTAACAAGCTACTCTTAATCATGGGTTTTAAACAAGCCGTTAAACCACAACCAGAATTGGCTCTGATACCATGTTAATATCCGGGGTTCCATCCTAAAAGGTCAACCTGATAGGAGGAGTATTCCAAAGCTTTATATAGTGTTTTATTGTTCCGGTGTGAGACAAATGCTTTAACAGGAAGGGATACAGTTCCACGAAAGGGATAACTTTATAATTTTAAAATGGTAACATTTTTGTCCAGATCTAAAAGAGTGATATTTTTGTCCATCTAAAGCCCATAAGTGATATTTTTGCCATTTTTTCTCAATTCAATTCATCCCGTTTTAAATTAAGAAATACTACCTCCGTCCCAATGAATTCTTCCAAGTCAAACTTGGTTCGCAAATTTAGAAATGAGGAATAAAGTAGAAATGTATGGTTATAGTTGTATAAGAAAAATGTGAATGAATGTGAACCACATATTTTTTTCAAAAAGTGGAAAAATGATGTTTGTACCCACTCTTATACCCACTTTTGTACCCACCCATGTTTGTGAAAGCTTTTTTTTGTCTGTGAACATCGATTCACAGACAATATTTTGCACAAACAAAATATTGTCTGTGAAACGGGTTAACACACAAAAAAACTTAACAAACATGGTGCGTATAAGATTGGTATAAGAGTGGGTACCTGATAGTCCAAATAATTAAACAATCAAACAACCATAGCAGTTATAAAGAAGCAGATCGAAAGATATCGAGAAGATGAACCGAATCTGGTATACCGTATAAATCCCGCTGCTCTCCCTGGAGAAGGAGAGCAGCGGAAACCTTACTCTCTCTCTATCTCTCCTCTTGCGCTCTCAGCCTCTTTCGATAGTTAGGGTTCCCGTAAGTTAGCCTCCTTTTATAGGAGAAGTTAGCTAACTTACGGGTTACAAGGAAGCCCCCGGGCTGATACACATTTGTGGCCCGTATTACACGTTTAATTGATAACTACACAAATACAAAGATATTTAATTAGATTGGATACCATAAAATATTCCTAACAATCTCCCCCTTGGTGTTCAATCGTGTTGAATCAACATTGCAGCGCAGATATCTTTGTCTTTGTTGTTATTCAGCTTCCTTTGTCTTTGAACTTGACTTCTGAGGAAGGCTATCTGAAGAAATCCTTGCAATCTCCCCTTTGATGTCTTCTTGACAATTTGATCTTTGATGTCGGGGGTTGAGGGACCTTCAGTATCTTGCATGTAGTCCTTGCCTTCCAGAAGTTGCTCTTGATCAGCTTGGATAAAGTCCGGTGACGCCTCTAGAATGAATATTCTTTGGAGAATAGGAGACGCCCATGGAATTCATCTTCAGGACACGAGTATTTGACCTCTGTCTCCTCCATAATGTAGTCTTTTTGACTATTTGGAATGAATGCTTTTGAGGAGAACTTGTCGGTGGCACAGTGGAACATAATGATGGTTGAATTGTGAACGTAGCTGACCATTTGAGTTGCGGAGATAGTAGAGAGAGTGTTGGAGGAGAGAAGTGTCCCAGAATGATTTTTTGACAGTTAACAGCATGTGGACCACTCTCCCCCTCATGACGATCCGATGATTTGGGGCGTCATGCCTTTATTCTTTTATACTGCGGAAATAAAAACAGGAAAAACAAGCAGAATGTAAAGAAGATAACGTAGCCCCCCGGGGTCGTGAAGACGCCCGTTATCATCACTATAGAGATAAACTCTTTAGCAATGGCTTGAAAATGTTGGTGATTCTTATGTTGCAACAGCAGGACTTCCTTCCAATTATTGGTCTACATCTGTAATAGATGAGCCCTATGGAAGTTCTCGTGGGTCATGTAGACCTGCAACTGACTCTAAAAGTGCGTCTGTGTCCTAGAAAATTTCAAAACATTTGGGAGTGAGTAACTAGACACGACGTGATCAATGAAAGTTCAGTGGCATGGGGCAGAGGCCACTGTAGTCAGTATTACTTGCCTCGGAAGGAGACAGTAATGAGAGATGCGGTTCCCCGTGAAGTATGATTAAACACCTGTCTATTGGGAGACAAGTGAGTGGTCTTGGGTAGGGTTCAACGTGCACTGTTGGACAAGATGCAGTGACTTCTACCCGGGATCTGATTAAATCAGTCCTGAACCTATTTGGGAATTGTCCAGAGTATTTGAGTGGCTAGGAGTAAATGTTCAATGGATAATAGGCAGTTGAGGTAGCAGACTCATCATTGATTATTGGTTTTCTTCTCACTTGAGCCTTCTGCTTCCTAACGCTCATAATGTTCACTCACTCACTCGCTCACTCACTTACTTACGCTCGGCTTTGTCCCTTGGGTAGGCTTAGTGGGTTTACTAAGCCATAGGGACATGTTCTCTCATTACTTTCTTCATTTTCTCTCTGTACTCCCCCTCAACTGGAGCACTCGGTATGATTTGTCATTGTTAGGCACCGGGAAGGATAACATTGAACACTCCCCCTAAAATGTTGCATCCTTTGAGAGATTCCTTGCTTTGTCGGTGTAAGGCGCCAGGAGGAGAAAAACTGAAACTCCCCCTCAGAATGTGCAAGGTTTGATTGCTCACAGCTTGTCATACCCGCCATGTGTGTGGAGCAATCTGAACAAGTACCACACATGACGGTTTCCCTGAGCTCACCATGTAGAATTTCAGCATATCGATGATCACATAATGTTGATGAGTCAGGGGAGGCTTCAGTGGTTGATTGTTGATTGTAGTAGAATGACCATTGACGCGAGGTTGATTGAATTATCTACGACTTTCGGACCTTTACAGTTAGGTTTAGAAAAGCTTTGACCTCAGGTTTGACATTGAAAGAATTTGAACAGATTTGCCTAAGTTTTGACCCGGACATCGGTGATTTACAATGTTTGTCGGAAAACTAACGTTTTGACCCTCAAAGCCTGCGAGTTAGGGCGCGTGATAAAGGGTTCTGGGGCATATCCCGAAAATTAATGTAGATCTTTTCGTTAGCTTTCCAACAACAAAAAGTTTGCTCAAATCGGATCACCGAGTCAAAAGTTATGGCCAAAACAGTGCGGTGTCGCAGAAAATCTCTAATTTTGAGTTTTTGAGGAATTTCTTCGAAGTTGAGGTTCTCGATGTTGAATATCGAGAGCAGGTGGATTTTAAACAAAATTCTAAGGCAATACCTCGAAATTCGGATCTCGAGGTTTAAATCTCGAGATTACAATCTCGAGGTTTAAATCTCGAGATCTTAATCTCGAGTTTGCCTCGAAGAATAATGGCGAAATCCACCTGCAAAACAAACCTTAGAATATCGAAATCTGCAGAATTTCAAAATGTTTGGAACATCGAAAACTTTGGAGTTTCGAAAACATTAGAAAATCGAAAACTTGTTGTTTGAAAAACATCAGAACATCGAAAACTTCTAAAAACTTTGATAGGCAGAGATTCATTCAGATATCTAAAAATGTAAAGCTTCGAAGTGTTCTGAACAGGAAAGATATCAAGTTTAGAAGAAATCAATGATTCAAGAAACTCCAAACTTTGAAAAATTCAAAACATCGAGAAATTTTGAAAATCTCGAAATCTAGAATGTCGAGATCCAAAACATCGAGATCCCAAATGTCGAAATCCCAAAACTCGAAATTCCAAAACTCGAGTTTTCAAAACTCGAGATTTCAAAACTCGAGGTTTCAAAACTCGAGATGTCAAAACTCGAGATGTCAAAACTCGAGATGTCAAATCTCGAGATGTCAAAAACTCGAGATGTCAAATCTGGAGATGTCAAAACTCGAGATGTCAAATCTTGAGATGTCAAAACTCGAGATGTCAAATCTCGAGATTTCAAAAGTCGAGAAGAGGAAATCGAGTCCCTAAATGTCGAGATCCTGCAAAATGAAAACATCGATTTTTGAAAATCTGAAACCTGTTCTGAAAAGCCCTGAAGGTCGAGATTCTCCTGTATCAGTTTCAAGCCAAAAACGTTTCTGCAGCAGTGAAAAATAAGGATTTCGAGATCTCAATGTAGAGATCTTCGAAATATAAAAATTGCAGAAAACGAAAAAAAAGGTGTGCTGCTGGATCGGTTTTGAAAGGCGAGTCCAACAATATGATTTTTACAAAATTTCGTTCACAAAAAAGATTACAGGAGCAAATCTCTACACCAAAGAAAAACAGAAGAAAAACAGAGCAGTTCTTCGTTAGATCCAAAAAATCACAGATCGATTCAACCTGTTTCACGCCTCGGCTCTGATACCAATTGATAGTCCAGATAATTAAACAATCAAACAACCATAGCAGTTATAAAGAAGCAGATAGAAAGATATCGAGAAGATGAACCGAATCTGGTATACCGTATAAATCCCGCTGCTCTCCCTGGAGAAGGAGAGCAGCGGAAACCCTACTCTCTCTCTATCTCTCCTCTTGCGCTCTCAGCCTCTTTCGATAGTTAGGGTTCCCGTAAGTTAGCCTCCGTTTATAGGAGAAGTTAGCTAACTTACGGGTTACAAGGAAGCCCCGGGGCTGATACACATTTGTGGCCCGTATTACACGTTTAATTAATAACTACACAAATACAAAGATATTTAATTAGATTGGACACCATAAAATATTCCTAACAGTACCCTTATACTATCCGTATAATAGTAAAATGGAACACCGGAACAGATATACCCACCCGTACAATAAAACCTGGGAGTTGCTTCCTGCACCCCCACAATTGCTTAATGTAATCACGGGAGGACAAATTTGGCCTTCTTAATTATTAATTAAAATTATGTATGACTAAAAAGTTAATTAAAATTGCTTTGCACACCCTCCACAACTCCACGCTCGGCTCGCTTCTCCCTTGTCCATATCAATTTTGCATTAAATATACATCCAATCAAATGCTGCCATGTGACAAGTAATTCCTTTTTTTTTATAAAATGTCATAATTTTTTTATTTTTGCTCCAATTTTTACAAAAATTATACCAAATGAAATATCTTTTTATGATCTTTCATATGACACAAATATTATATATGTAATTTTTAAAAAATCTGGTCAATTTTCGTGAAAGTTCGATAAATGTATATTTAGTATTATTTAAATCTAGTGTAGTCAGATCTGATTCTATTTGTTTGAATCTATCTGGTTCGAAATCAGTTCAATTAAAAACGTGTTAAATACCATTCACACCATAAATCTAGTCATATAACATATGTGACCGTAATGTGGAATCAGCATGGTGCTGATAAGCCATTGGCAGTCAAATAAGTGTTTGAAGGTAACTGCGCAGTTAAACAACGCAGTATATTTCAGAAAATGATTTGACTGCCTTCCCGGTTGAATTTTTAACTGAAATTTGGTATGGGTAAACTAGACTAAATGAAAAAGATGCTCAAAAGAATTCATCAAAAAATTCTACCGGTAACCGCCCCAAATGGCGACGGCCAGACAGAGCCTCCTATAAAAGGGGTGATTTGCACTTTTTCGGTTAGTTCGAGGGCTTCTTTGCACCTTTTCCCTAAAAAATATATCAAAGTAAAGCATTTTTATCGATCTTTCATATGACACTAATATTATGTTAGAAAATTGATATTAGAATACGAGTTTAACCAGATAAAAATCTCAAGTTTAAACAAATCACCAGACAAACCGCCAAATGCAAGGACAATAATAATAATTAGAATAAATTAAAATGAATAAAGAGAAATGATAAGAAAACTTATCGCAGGATCGCTCGTAAAACGGACTGGCCTTGAAGAAAGATAGCCCCCGTATCCCGATAGCTATTCGGACGGGTCTGGCTAGCTCGCTCCCAGGATAATCCTACCACGCTTCAGACTCGTAGCTACCTTGACTGAAACCTCGGACCGTTGCCCAAAACGCCTTATAAAGTTGAGCACTAAAGAATATCTAAGAACTCTTCTTAAAGAATGATAAGGTTTTCTTACTTGTTTAGTAGTAGCACATACCATACATTTCTTAGTTTTATCAATAGAGTGCTTAGGGATTAAATTTAAATTCATCATTCTTTTTACAGAATCTAAATTAACGTGACCCAAACGACAATGCCATAAACAAGAAGAATCACAATTCTCAGATACATAATTCAATTCAGAATAATCAACCACAATCTTAAAAAGTCCATCCGACAAGTAACCCTTGCCAATAAAAATTCCACCAAATAAAATTACAACTTTATTTAATTTAAAAGATAGCTCATAACCCTCTTTAACAAGAATGGAACCACTAACAATGTTCCTTCTAATTTCGGGAACGTGATGCACCCCATGCAAAGAAAGAATTTTCTCCGAAGAATATTTTATTTCTACTTTTCCAATTCCTTGCACAGTTGCAGCACTTGTGTTCCCCATCATCACTGTTCTTCCAACCGCGGGTTGATAAGAAACAAAGAGCGATTTGTCAGCACATACATGCACATTTGCTCCTGTATCTATTAGTCACTCATTGGAATTGTAAATAGTGAAAATTTGAGGATTAATAGAAACGTACTCATTAGAACTAGTCCCTCCAGTCACCATGTTGACTTCAGGTCCCCCAGATTGAGCCTTGACCTTTTTGTTAGGACACAATTTGGCCCAATGCCCCATCTGTCCACAGTTCCAGCATGGTCGGTTTGCCTTTGGTTTCTTTGCAATTTTTAATTTGGCCTTTATGGGTTTAAAAGATGATGATTGTTTATTTTTAGAATTTTGTGACTGCTTTTCCCCTGTTACAAAATGAGCCTTCGGTTGAAAATCAACAGGCGCAATGTAGCCAGCTTTCTTATGCTCTTCCTCAACAGTTATGGAATGCATCAAAGATTTCCAAGTGATCTTTTTCATTTTATGTTTTAAAGTCATACCAAAATCTTCCCAAGATTTGGGAAATTTTTCTATGACCGCCATCACTTTAAATTTTTCAGGCAATTCCATATCCGCTTCACGAAGAGAATGTAAGATGAGCTCAAATTCTTGTGTCTGTTCTAACACCGATTTACCCTCTTTCATGTCAAATCGTAGGAATTTAGAAACAATATATTTTTCAAGACAGTGGTCCTCAGTATTATATTTCCTATCCAACTCATCCCAAAAGTCCTTAGCCGTGCCGTGGAGGGTGCAATAGACATCAAATAACATGTCGGAGAGACCCAACAAAATCATGCCTTTTGCAATTTCATCCCTCTCACGCCATAAAGCTTGGCGTTCAAGACTTTTGGGATCCGATTCAACAACAGGGGGACACACCGTCATAATTGTCGAGAGCAAGCCCTTGGTGATTAACCAAATTTTCATGCGTTGTTGCCAACGCTTGAAAAAATGCCCAGAAAATTTTTCCGGCATTCCGGTTAAATCAACCCTGTGCGAGCCCGTAGCAACATATTCAGATGTGTCTCCACAGTTAGTCACAGACACAGAATTTACATTATTTTGAGGGATATCATTCACATCATTCTCAACAACAACATTTTCGGAAATAACAGCATTTTCCAAGTTTGCCATTTTTGGATTTTCCAAAACTCGAGAAATAATATCTTTCTTCAAGATTGTTAGAAAATTGATATTAGAATGCGAGTTTAACCAGATAAAAATCCCGAGTTTAAACAAATCACCAGACAAACCGCCAAATGCAAGGACAAAAATAATAATAATTAGAATAAATTAAAATGAATATAGAGAAATGATAAGAAAACTTATCGCAGGATCGCCCGTAAAACGGACTGGCCTTGAAGAAACATAGCCCCCGTATCCCGATAGCTATTTGGACGGGTCTGGCTAGCTCGCTACCAGGATAATTCTACCACGTTTCAGACTCGTAGCTACCTTGACTGAAACCTCCGACCGTTGCCCAAAACGCCTTATAGAGTTGAGCACTAAAGAATATCTAAGAACTCTTCTTAAAAAAATTAGGAGAGCATGCAAACTTTCGTAAAAACAAGTTGGAGGAATCCAAGTAGGAAAACAGAAGTCCTCTCCTACGTGAGTGGAAGAACAAATTCTGGGTCTCAGGGTCTGTATTTTTTTTTTTTTGTTTGTTTTAAGTGGGAAGAGGTTTTTTTCCTTCTTTTCAGAATAGCTCAACGTAACTCATATAATAAAGGTGAAGGCCAGACCCTTCATATACATTATGTATAATTGAAAAAAACTTTAAAGGAGCAGTTGGATTGTTTCATCAGGAAATCAAATTAAATATTGGAAATTGATAGGCAAATAAACTGATCCACATTAAGGATCTCCATCAATAGCATTAAGGATAATTATTTGAATTTGAATTCAATTTCATAATCCAATCAACTATTACATTGTTCAACTAATTAGAGAGTCTCTAGACCTTAGACGTTAATTCCGTCACTTATAATCCGTCCGATTAGGTGTACTTATAAGTGATAAATTAAAACGTCACATTATCTTATATGATACTTGAACAATGTTCTTTATCACATTATGATTATAAATAATAATCATACGAGACAGTTTATCCTCTAATACAGAACAAATAAATTCATTGTTTTAATACATCACTTTACAATCTTTACAACTATGGATTCTAACTTTAAATCCAAATATGTAAGTTATTCTTTGATGTATTATCAGCCTCATCTCCATATTTGACACAATTATATCTTAGGACACAATAATGTGACCCTAAAAATAATATTTATATTATCATATTTCCAACATATTACACATATAAATTTAAAAAAACCTGATATGATTTGTTTAATTTTGATCTACATGGCTGGTGGATGTGAATTTTACTATTGTTTATTGTGATATGATTTGATCTAATCTTTTTTTAATCTTAATATTATCTTTTTGCTTTTTCTATATTTACTATACCTTCGTCCCCTTTCACATTATTAATAATACAAAAGGTTGATGCCATTATCCAAGAAAAGTGATGTTTTATGTTGGTATTAAATTGATAAAGTGAATAAAATAAGATTGATTTTGAATCACACAATATTATCAAATTTGGTATGAGATAATCTTAGTGAAATTAATCAAAAGAAAAGATGAGATCATTTTAGCATGACAGAGAAATACTTTTTTAATATCTCCTCTGTTCCTTTGTTGCAACGTTTTCATTTTAACGGATGTCAACACATAACTTTGATCAATAATATATTTCATTTCCTATTAGTAAAAAATTTAAAAGATTAATTTTTAATATTAATAGTGAGAAGAATTTAATATTATTTCTCAAAAATTTAAGTTCTAAACATGAATAAATAAAATATAGTCAATGTAGAACATTTGTATAGTTTAAAATTCAACATGTTACAATTATTTAAAAGACAGAGATAGCAATAAATAGGATTATTAACTTTTCAAATTAGGCCAATTGTATTGTACAAAAAATTAAGTTAACTAATACGGAGTATAAAAGGATTTATTTTAGTAAAATTGATTCCATGCCAACGTAATTTAACAAAAAGGAAAAAGAAAAATACAGAGGAGCATATATAGTATATACGCCAAGGGGGAAAAAACTATTGGTGCGCTAGCTACGTAAATTTCTTGAGGCAAGAGGACAGATCTGTCCAATACTAGGTAAAAAGAGGTGCGCCTAGTAACTTCGAAGGTGTGCGAAGGAGGTCCGTAAAACCTGAACTAGAAATACTTCACCACTCTAGGGTTTTTGGCTTATATTTAGCTGAAAATCTAAAGCCGACTGCCGTCCATCACGGCACTGATATGGCAATTAAAGGCAAATCCAGCGGCGGCACCAGCAGCAGCGACCACTCCATTATTATTCGTGTCTCGGAGTCTTCAATAGTCCGCAAAGGAAAGAACGCCGCTTCTGATGCCACCTACGTAAGCAAACGTTTGGCCAAGAGTACCGGCAAGGCGGCGTGGATCGCCGCCACCACTCTTCTTATCATCGCCGTCCCGCTCATCATTGTAATGGACCGGGAGCAGCAGCTCAACGAACTCGATCTTCAGCAGGCCAGTCTCTTTGGCACTTCTCAACCTCCCTCTGTCGGCCCACCTCAAAAGTAATCGGATCTTTCACTGTTAGTTTTGGCCTTTTCGGAATAGAGTGCATTTTCATTCGTGGAAGGGTTTTAATGTCTATGAAGTATTTCTTATTGATCGATCATAATGTTGAAAATTGATATGCTTACATTATCGGCAATTACTTCACTTTTCGTGTGTTGCTGCTTTGAGCGGTTCGTGCACCCTTCTTGTTTTCCTGACATTTTATATTTCAGATTCTATTTCTTAATTTTTTTAGAAGGAAAAAAAGAATAAAAGAGAGAACCCCCCATAAGGCCATAACCAATCTCAGCCCTCTGTAAGGTTCATGTGCTTGATGGAACAACTGAGGTCTGTTTGGAAATTTCTTTGAGAATATTAAAATAATGCTTTTCTATGAGTCATTTAATCTGCTTCCCTCAAATCTCACATACTCTACCCAGTGCAACATGGGAAACAACTTACAATCCGGAGAAGTGTCTGTATAAAATGCTTTAGGATCCTTTTCAGCTCTCTCATTGAAGGTACTATACCATTCTGGCCTTCTGTGTTGTTAATATCAGATAGTATTCTTCTGTTCTTTACCCTTGGATAGCATAAAGCTACTCAGGTTTGAAATCTCTTACTCTAGAGTACCCTTTACCTTTACTAGTGAATGTTAAGCCAACCCTTCACCATAAACTTCTTCAACCAAGTCTTAGACCAGTGATAAATGATCAACTTAAGTTGATTTATAAATCGGTGGTCTTCATTTCAGCCTGCCTTTACTTAGACAATGTGTTAGAAACTTCCAAGAGTTAAGCATAAATGCATAAGTATCATATTGTTAGCTTGATTCTACTACAATGTTTTAGTTCTTTGTCCTCTATCAGAATCCAGAATGATGAGTTTAAGCTAATTAGTTAAACCAAAATATAAATGTAAACAATATAAAAGTATAGTTCATGATTTATGATGGCACTACCTTTACCAAAAAGCATGCCTTTTTTTGGGTTGATGTATTTTTAAAACATTCATGGTATTGTGAGGTACTGAGGTGAACCATTATTTATGAAAGTTTTGAATGAAGTTGTACTGGTTAAGGATGTAACGAATAACATATATTGCAAACCAAGATCCTAAAGCGGCATTGGTGTTTAAGCAGTTGGATACTTGGATTTCCTTGTGTCTTCACAATCCAATTGTTTTTCCTTGGATGTTTATATAAAATATAAAAGAAGGGTAAAAAGCATTTTGACAAGCCCCCAATGGTTCAGTGTAATGGTTCTTGAAATCTCCCTCTGAATCCTTGGGCTTGTGCTTCTTGAAATTCTGATAATCAAACCCCCTCTAAACAAACTCCTAGCCATTTTCCCAAACAAGTGATGTGGCTACTGTTCACCTGTAAAAAGTGTAAAAAGTGATATGATGTGTTAAACAATACTACCATGATGTAAGACTTTTTGTAAGAATATATGTACCACTAGCATAACTTTGAGGTGCATTTGTCTTGGCCTAACAACATAAACAAAAAATTATACATATTTTGATAATCAATATCATTCATGTACTACACCTCCATTGAAGTCTGTCTCTCAGGATTGCAGTATTTCAAATGTTGATACTCACTCCATTTTTATTGAGAAAACAGTAACATTGACGTATTGCAGTATCTTGAAGCCATATTCACTCATAGGATTGACATACACAAACAATTTTGGATCTTATTTATTCCAAATTTAAGGATGTTTTTAATTGGATTGAACTTTTCTCGTTCGATCTGGCTGTTTAAGTCTAGTCTATGTCGGGTATAATTGTATTTTACAATTGTTGAAGTCTGGTTTGTAAGGGTATGTCTCCATGTTAATTTCACTTTTAACTTAATAACAAAAGTAGAGTAAACAATTTTTTGGATAGATGTCAGCTCATAAACACTTTTTATGTCTTATATTGTTGCTTAGTAGCACTCCACTCTCATTTTATCAAAAAACGTATTGAGCATTTTTATATTGACAAGTATACTCCTTGCATCCCATAATGGAAGTCGCGGAGCACCCCTACTTCTACCCCACACTCCCACCCTACCTCGACAACCTCCTACCCCATTTCCCCCACCCTAACCACTTCTACTCTACCCCCACCTCCAACCGCTCCTACCATATCCCAACCCTAATCACTCTTATCCTATCCCCACCCCCTAACCACATCTCTTCTATCCCCACCCTTACCCCTACCCCCTACCCTAGGAAATGGGGTCGGGGTAGGGTGGTGTAGGAGAGGGGGTGAGGGTGAGAGTG